ATTTTTTTTTATTACATTGCATCATGAGACACAGTTTTACAGGGATTCCTCCCTCCCCTCCCCAAACCCCGCTTCCCCACCCTCCCATGGTGGATTCTTCCATCTTGTTGCATTACCACATCATCTGTGAATCTTAACTTCCATGAAGAAAGGCGGTGAAGCTGGTTTTACTCTCAAAACTTCTGACCTTGACTGTGGAGGTGGAGAATGTTACCTGCTGTTACCTGCTGGGACCTGCCCAGCCCCAGAGGCAGGGCCACTCCGTGGGGACTCCCTTCCAGCAGCCGCCTCTGCTCTGCCTGTTGAACCTGCCGGACAGCACAGGGAGTTCCCACACACTGGGCTGCTGGGCACTGCGGTCTCCCACAGTGGACACCAGCTTCTTTATCTTCAGTCTCTTCAACCAGCTGCCCCCCTGAGGATTGTGAGCCAGACAGAGGGCACCTTACCCAAGGAAGCTGGGAGGGAGCTGAGGGGTCATGGGTTCTTAGTCCTGCCGTGCTGAAACCCGGAATGCCCTCGTGGGCATCAAAAGCCTGGGGTGAGCTTTCGTCACTTGTCACTTCCCTGCTGTTCCCGATGCGCAAAACACTGAATTCCTCCAAAACTCCGATCCCTCAAGCAGCATCTGCACTGTGTCTCTTTCCAGTTACCCATAGCACTTGCATCCTCTGGATTTCTGAGCCAGCTCTTGAAACGTCACTGTGTGAATAACAATTCAACCGGGTGTGATTCAGAATAGACATTGCAGGTTAGATTGTTCAAGAATATCCTCCAAAACAGCTTGGACGTTGTTAAATTCGTCAACCCCCAGGGAAGGGAGAGATCAGCTGCATACGGAAAAGAGTTTAGTTGTCGTTTGACTTGAGTTCACGTGCGATGCAGCATCTTGGGCAGCTGCACCACAGTGCTGGCACCTGGAAATTATTATTTCATATCCAACCAAATTCTTCCTCTACTTCCATTACAAGGAAGTATATAAGAGACATAGATTTTTGGATTGGAAGGAACCTTACAAGCCCTGTCTTGCTGTTTTCTTTCAGTTTGGAGAATTCTCCAGATAGACATTCATCAATTCAGACCGCTTTCTGTTTCCAGTGTTGATTTCCACATGCCTTGAATAACAACAGCTTTTCCTTGTCTCTTTTCTGGAAAGTCACAAGAATCAACTTCCACAAGACATTTTCCCCAAGGTTTGTTCACATCTTCCATTTTCTCTGCCGGTTTGGGTTGTGAACAGAAACGGCTGTTAAAGAGAAGAAATTCCTAAAGCAGGATTTAAAAAGGCAAGATATTAAACATATTACTTAATTCAATCTCCGCCCCATATAGATTTCCACTTCTCCCCGCTGCCAGATATGGTCAACTATTTGTTACAGTGTCAATTTTCTTGTGAGCATTTTCTTGCATCACGTTAAAAATCTGCTTCTTTACACATTGGTAAGGATTGAAACATTTCCAGAAAGAAAAAATCTGTACACATCTGCTCTTTAAACAGGTGCAGAAATAAATTTAAATAAATAGGTGCAGAGAGCTATTGCATCCTGCTGTGACACAAAATTTGCTTACTTGAAAGGCAGAGTTAGAGAGAGGAAGAGAATGAGAGTGGGGGGGGGGGAATGGATCTTTCATCCGCTCTTTCACTCCTCCAATGACCTCAAGAGGCAGGGCTGAGTCAAGCTAGGGACGCTTTCTGAGTCGGCCAAGAAAGGCAACAGGTGGACTCAATCGGCATGCATGTGGGCTGCCAGCCGTTTAACCTGATGCACCACAACCAGCCCAGACAAAACCTTTTCTGCTCTGTGTTGGACACATGGATGCCTCCAGCGATTCTTGCAGAGCCGCTGGGCTCTGCTCCAGTTCCCTAGTCACTGCTCTGCACAAGTATTTTAGCCCCCGCATGTGTCTCTTAAGATGCAGATCCCAGACCGAAAACAAAAAACCTGTGTTTTCTTACCAGCACTTGTGCCCTATTGATATGGGATTTACTCTCAATTGTGTTCCTACTATTTTGAGGCAAATAATATAAAGAATTCTATTAATTTATGCTAAATGTCAACTATCATTTTTATTTTTAGATGTTGTTTCTGACATCTAACTAAATTGTTTTTCTCAGTTTAGTGTCATTTTTAACTCACGAAGGCCGTCACCTTAGAGCTGTTGATAAGTGTGTGCTCTAATGGGTAAAAACATTTAAGTTCTGTGACAATGACACTTTCTAACGTGGCTGTATTTTATCAAGCTCCTTTTCAGTGATGTTTTGCAAGTAGATAAGAACAAATAGAATTGTGTTAAAATCTTGATCTTTGTTTCTCCATATTATGTAATGAGAGATGATCGCAAAATCTAAACAATCCAAATATTTTATACATATTTAACTCCCCCTCATTACATTAGACAAAGACAATTATGAGTTTACGGCTATAAATAAATGGATTTACAAACAAAAGCAACATATAAATAGAATGTTATTATGAATCACTTTAAAATTTAAATATATCAAACCAATTAATGACTCATTTTTCTAGAAAAAAATATTTTTATTTGAAATGCAGTTACATAGAAAGAAGGAAATATAAATAGATAGAAATAGAAAGATAGAATCTTCTATCTGCTTGCCGATTCTCTCCCCAAATGGCACTGCTTTGCCAGGCACGTTAGCAGGGAGCTGGATAGAAACAGGAGCAGCTGAGACTGAAATTGGTGCCTGTATGAAATGATAGCCCTGCAGGCTGAGATTTAACCTACTAAACTAGGGTGCCTGACCCATCTTTTTTTTTTTTTTTAATGTGGAATACCTTAATTTTCATCATTGTTATAAGGATCATTCTTTTTCTTTTTTTAGATTTATTTATTTTTATTGGAATGGCAGATTTACGTACAGAAGGAGAGACAAAGATCGTCCATCAACTGGTTCACTCCCAAATGACCACAACGACTAGAGCTGAGTTGATCTGAAGCCAGCAACTAGAAACATCTTCTGAGTTTCCCATGTGTGCGCAAGGTCTCAAGACTTTGGGCCATCCTCTACTGCTATTGCAGGCCAGGAAGCTGGATGGGACTTGGCGTACCCAGCACCCATATGGGATCGTGGTGTGTAAGTAGCAAGGATTTAGCCATTGAGCCATTGTGTCAGGCCCATGGATACTTCTTTAAAGGATATTGACATTGACTTTGGAATGACATCAATGTCTGCTTAACTCAGCATCAATTATTGGGCATGCTCTGTTTCAAACACTCTTTCATTCTTTTGCTCCTATTTTTCCTGTAATGCTCTCTCACCGGTAGACGTAAAAGAACAGGAAATCAGGAAAGCACTTCTTTTGATGATAAAGCATTTTCTGGGAATTCAGAGAAATGCCGATCTCCGGCTGCACCCCGACCTGCTGCCTTAGACACTGCAGGGTGCAGGGAGACCAGAGCCCGGTGCTAACCTCCCCTGGTGGAATGTCGATCCCTAGCCCCACCCCACCTGCTGCCTTAGACACTGCAGGGTGCAGGGAGACCAGGGCTCTGGTGCTAATGGCTCCGGTGGATGCTAATGTAACTGTGTAGCTCCAAGTTTTCTGCCTCACCGTGGTGTGTTGGAATCATACTGCAGCAAAATGTATCCTTTTCTGGGGAAATTTTAAGTTAAGCAGATGTGGTTTTTTTCCTATTTTTGAAGTTTTTTTTTTTTTTTTTAACTTGAAAGTCAGTTACAGAGAGAGGCTGAGAAAGAGAGCCGCTCTGTCCGCTGGTTCACTCCCCAAATGGCCACAATGGCCAGAACTGGGCTATTCTGAAGCTGGAAGCCAGCTGTTACCTTCAGGTCTCTCACTTGAGCGCAGGGGGCCCAAGGACTTGGGCCGTCCTCTACTGCCTTCCCAGCAGGGAGCTGATTGGAAGTGGAGCAGTTGGCCCTTGAAAGGTGCCCAGATGGGATGCGAGCACCTCAGCTGGAGAGTTAGCTTCTTATGCCGCTGCCTCAGCCCCAAGAATTATTTCTTGATTGTATTTCTCAGTTGCAACTCTTTGTTTCTTCTTCTTATTATTTTTTTAAGATGTATTGGATAGAAAAAAACTGAGGAAAAAGAAGGATGCTGAAGAACTAGTTAACTGTGGTGTAGCAAGCAACAACAAAAAAACCATTCCCAGGGTCTGAGTGTTTTTCTTCAGCCCTCTGAGTCTTGCACGTTATCAGAACGAAGAGCAAAAGAAGCATAAATCATGACCTATGTTGCCTCAGACGGACTAGAGTTGATCAGCTTTCCTTGCAAGAGAAAAATGCATTCAGCAAGCAGGGGCCTCCAATATATGATGTGCTTCATAATGCAGAATGAAATGTATAGTGAGGAAATCATTCAAAGGGTCAAGAAATGTGTTTGAGTCGGGTCTAAAACATAGCTATGGCTTTATGAGGAAGAAGGGCTGGAATAGAACTCCCACTTAGAACTACAGAGACAAAAGAATGGAAGATCTGAGTGGAAGTATGCAAAAAAAAAAAAGAACCCTGACATGTGCTTTATGCTACGCTCTATGCAAGAATATGAACATTCCAGCTGTGGACTTTACACCTATAAACAAAAAGGGAGGGCCAAGGGTGGTTTTACGGATTCTTTTGGAGACTGGATTATCTGCTATAAAAATGTGTGTGTGAAAGAGAGAGAGAGAGAGAATATGGACACATCTGTGCATGCATCAAGATTTTCTGAGAAAAAAAGTTCCTAAACGAAGACTTTTCCCCACATACACGAAGCAGTGGAGTACAATTTGATACCTTCATGATTTCAGGGGGACGCTGTTTGGGGGGGATCATGAACGACTTGTGCCACAAATATGTTTCAGCACCAGATACAAATGTTATTTGAATCTTATTGACATGTTATTTGAAGAAGATCGCCCCCTCCCCCCCCATGGTTCTTTTTAAGAACAATGCAAATGAAACCAGTTGCTGAGAATGAAATGATGCTACAAAGCAAACAGCGTCTTTAACAAGGTCTATCACTCGTGCTGGCATCTTATTTCTTGGCTAAGACCCTTGCAACCAACCTCTGAAAAGCACCTTTGACCTCCTTGTTTCTGAGAGTGTAGATGAGGGGGTTCAGCATGGGGGTGATGATTCCGTAGAAAAGGGAGACCATCTTCCCCCGGTCCTTGGAGGCAGGCGACGGTGGCTGCAGGTACATATAGATGGCCGTCCCATAAAACAGCGTTACCACAATGAGATGGGAGCCACACGTCCCGAAGGCCTTCCGCCGGCCTTCTGCAGACTGGATCCTCAACACCGCTTGGACAATAAAAGCATAGGATATGAGGATGAGCATCACAGGTATCAAAAGGAAAAGCACGCTGATGAAGAACAGCTCGGCCTCGTTAGCGGTGGTGTCCACACAGGACAGCTGGAGCAGTGCCGGCACTTCACAGAAGAAGTGGTCCACTTCTTTGTGACCACACAGAGGCATCTGGAGGGTCCAGGTGGACTGCAGCACCGAATTGCTGAAGCCACTCGCCCAGGATGCGGCGGCCAGCTGCAGGCAAAGCCTTCGGTGCATGATGACCGAGTAGTGAAGAGGCCGGCAAATAGCCACAAACCTGTCCAGGGACATGACGCCCAGCAACAGGCATTCGGTGGAGCCCAGTGCCAGGAAGATGAAGAGCTGGGCCACGCAGCCGCCGTAACTGATGACCTTGCGGGGGCTGCGAATGTTCACGAGCATCTGCGGGACTGTGCTGGTGGTGTAGCAGAGATCCAAGAGCGAGAGGTTGGTGAGAAAGAAGTACATGGGGGTGTGGAGCCTGGAGTCGAGGCGGGAGAGGATGATGATGGCCGTGTTGCCCAGGATAGTCAGCATGTAGGAGACCAGAAACACCACAAACAGCGGCAATTCCAGCCATGGTCGATCGGAGAAACCCAACAGAATGAACTCTTGCGGTGCGCTCTCGTTGACCCAATTCATGTTCAGTGGGTTCACTTTTGGTTTCCTCAAACAGAAAACATCAGTAAGTTAACACACATATAGGTACTAAGTTAGTTACTTATAATCATTTTTCCCCTAGTGACTCGCTTGAACTTAAGGTTGAGCCATGGAGTGGACTTCCTATGGAGTGGACTTCCGGTGCAGCTGTTAAAGTCAGCTGTTGGGAAGCCCAGATCTCACATTCCGGCTCTTAACTGCAGCTCCCTGCTGATGTAGGTGACTCCACAGGAGCCTGGGTGCCTGTCACCCATGTGGGGGACCTGGGTTGCGTTCCTGACTTCTGGCTTCAATCTGGTGGAGCTCAGCCTTAGCAAACATTCCGGGGGAGGATTGACAGTTGCCCGTCCATCCATCTCCCTCCAGGTTGGACCCTCTGCCTCTCAAATAAACACCTAATCTTAAATGTGAAAAATGTTTTGCTGCCAAATACAAATATTAAACAGACATATTCCAAACTGCTCAATTATAACAGCGTAAACAGATTCATTTTCAACATTTCTGAGAGCTATCCCCAGGTTCTATATTGGCAGCATTTATCTTTTGTCATTTGCTTGCTTTGCAAATGCATGTTTTCTTGTTAGGCAGATGTAGGCAGCGTTCCTGCTATTTGAAATGATCCCAGTGTCTCCTCGGCACCAGGGAGATTTCCTGGTTATAGTAGTCAGTTACAACCGCTTACGTTCTATTTCTCTTTCTTAACTCCTGAGAGCTCCAGCTCAGCAAAGCTCTCTGGTAAGTCATCAAGAACCGGTTCAGGAGACACGGCCTGTCCCTTTTAGAAGCTCATAGAGTTTGGATAGGATTCTTTCACAGTGTGCTGCTCGGAGTCACCAGGCTGGGCTGGCATACCTGCCTTTCTTAGTGGTTACATTGCCTGAGGTTTCCTGCCCATGGCCTTCAGGCTCCTCATTTGTGAAATTCTAATCGTTCATCCATGGATGCCATCCAGGCTCTAGGACAGTGAAAGCAACCACGGTGATCCAAGGCCTAAGGTGCTCAGAAAAGAATTTTACTCAAGATTTCCGGGACATTACATTTCCCAGGCTACCAATGGACATGCCTCTGTTTCTTGAAACTCAGCTTGCTTTTCCCTCTTTCATCCTCAGACCATCAACCCCAACAACAGAAGAGTCAGCTACCTTGGGATGTGAAGAAGGAATGAGACCTTCCCTGGGGGTTGCCTTGGCTCGGTGCCTGGCAGAGGAAAGCACAGACAACTAGGAACCTGGAGCAGCGAAGCAAGAACCCAGTGACTTGGTGCAGAGGCCATGCAGAGCCCTAAACTTCCAGCAGGTGTAGGGTCCACGGCTACAATCCCAGAGGATGCCTAATGCAACACTCTGGATTATCTTATCATGACCAAAATATGCATTTCCCCATTGTACGCATGCTCATCCGAATGTTACTAATCTGTGTTTTATATATATATGTAATATATGTAATATGTAAATAATGTGTAATAATAATAGTGATATGTCAATAAAAATGTTATTTTACCCATTGCAGAAGAAAACCTTGCTTTTAGGAAACAGCAATGGGGAATATTAAAGCAGACATAAACTGACTTGTCTTTTGTTCTACTTTTCAATAGGCAGACGTTAGTTTTGTAATACATTTTTAAATCATGCCACTCTCCCATCTTGCCTGGGCACTCTATCCTCAGATCAGCATTATTTTAGTTGAAACTTTGATCCTCATATAATTGTAAATCTTTACAAGACACTGAAAAAATGCCTGAGAATTAATGAACGATTTAGATTTTTCCAGTTCTACATACTTCCTAAAAGTTCAGCCAGAATCCACAAAGAACTTCTTGGCAGGATGAATTGTGGCAGCATTTTGCATCTAATGGGCCAAAAAAAAAAAAAAAATAACAACCGAAGAGTGCAGGGACCAGGCAATTGGCGTGAGTGGAGACTCACAGCTTCAGAGCCTCTGTGAGCTGCTCCAGTGTGAACAGACCCTCCAAGCCCACACTCGGGTGACAGCAGGGCCTCCATTAACTCAGACCTGTGAGTTTATCCTTGTCAACCCGACAGGGTTGCTGTTTGGGTAAATTTTGAGGCCTCTCTTGGTGCCACTACCCAGCCTGTCTGTCATCCATGGAGGACATTTGGAGGTGCTTTGTCCCCTCCAAAGCCAGACATTCCATCTGGCATCTCTGCTTAGGACTCAAAGACTGTCCAAGGAGTTCTTTCTGCTAAGGATCACAGAAATGGGAAAGAATTAAAGTTAACATTCTTTCATCAGTGGATGCCCTCACTCTGACTCGGTACTTGTATTTGCAAATAAACTTCTATTCCACCAGTGGAATGTATCGTGCTGTTGTGTTTAAGTGTCTCCTGTTATGTCACGTCCTCTCACATTGTGTTGTCTGGACTCGGGGAAGGCGAAGATTTCCCACTCCAGCATGGAGCACTAGAACAGACTACCTGTGCTGGGACAGGAAAGCAATGAGGGTGAGATGGCCGATTTCAGAGTCCCAGATTCTCAAGTCTTGCTTCACTCAGTCTTTGTGTCCATTTGCCAAACACACAGTAACCCCAAACACTGATCCACTCATGACAGTGAATCTTGAAATACAGGAGCTGTGTTGTCATTTTGCATCTTAAATAGTTTGAATTCTAATTCATATTGCTACTGCGGCAATGGACATGTTTGTTAACAACTAGGAAGCAAAACAAAAACTCATATGTCCTTATCTGCATATCTGAGTTACATCAGATTGGCTGCTGGTTCCTTGCTCCAAACTGTGGCTAATTCCTTAAAAACCACGCAGCAAGTGGATTCTCTGCTTTCAAGAAAACTACATTACCGGCGTTCCGAGATAACCTGATCCTCATTTTCAACAGCAGGCATTCAGCAAAGCGAAACGTTTGAACTGTGTGAGATACCGAGCAGGGCAGAAAGGCCTCTGGGTTAAACTAAAGTTGACAGAAGAGACGTTTCAAAAAGCCGCTGCTGGCACCCTTACAATGCTTCTCTGTGATCACCTTAGAGTATCTGACCCAAAGTGTATAATACTCGCCTAAATGAATATTGCTTATACCCGCCCCCCCCCCTTTCACTTGTGCTTTGGCTTACCTGACGTGGGTCATTTTCCTGTGGAATTTGCTCGCTCCATGTCTGAACTTGAACTTTCAGAATGATGAGGTTCAGCAGAGTCTTGGAGTGTTTTTAGAGCTGCACCACGGAGAGAAAACTGAGACAAGAAAAATCAAAGAGTCATTCCCAAATCTTCCGGCAAGTCATTGCACAACAGACCAGTCAGTTAACGGCCTCGGAGGTCAGTTTTATCTTCTGTGATGTCACGAGGCTGGCGTACCCCTCTCATCATGAAAACTGCTTCTTCTTGCATCTCAATGTCCTTGTGAATCTCTTGTTCCAAAATATAGAGTTCCAGACACGGTGGTTTTCACAAACGTAAGTTTGCTCCAATTTAAGTATATGTGCTGCCAAAGCAAGCGCTGAATGTAAATTTGAAAATAGTCTTAACAATACAAGGAAGTTCTTCAAAAACAACATCCAGTGCATAAAAGTCAAGTTTATAGACAAAAACTTGAATCTATGTCCTCTGAGGCATTTAATTATTTTTCCAAGATTCTAGAGCAAGTAAGTTAAAGATTGAACCAAAGACCAGCTTACTGTAAAGTTCCTGTTTTCCATAGGGATTGCAAATACATCCAGACAAAATTCACCACTGATGCAGTTTCATGCAGTAATCTTTTAGAAGTACACACAACTTACCTTCAAGCATTAGAGGTAGATCTTTATGTGCAAGATCTTTGAATGCAGATAAGACTGATTGCAGGTTCACAGGCACGATGACTTCCTCATGACATCACTCAGTTTGATGACATTCGTTGAATTTCTGTCCGCTCCATTCCGTGAATAAATAGCAAGTTGTGGGATCTCCACTAGGAGCCAGTTGGACTGCAAACGACAGAAAGTAGGGTACTGGCACAGCATTGCTTGGGAATTAGGACATCAAATGCTGCGAGCATTTGTAAAGATTTTCTGTCATTTTCCCTGTCCCTGTCGGCGTCCGCTGGGGTCTCCGGCAGGGACCTCAGTCATTGCATTGCAAAGCTCCTTCTCGCACGCTTTATAGAAGTTGGCGCACATGCTCAGTGGACGGAGGGAGGAGATTTCTAACAAGCTCCTCTCTCATCACCAACTAACTGGGCAAAAGCCTTTCCCTGGGGAAAGAGCTCTTAGTGACAATGAGGACGGACCAGCTGGTCACAGGGAAAACAGGATGTTGTCCTACTGAACTGAGTTTGGTTGTCTTCGATAGCCTGGTCAGTGTGTTCTGGAAAACCATTTGCTTCCTTCTGCGAGGAAGCAATCCTTTTACCCTTTTTCAATTTTCTAAAATCAGCAAACCTTTGATTTCAATGCTAGAAAACAGATCATCCTTTAACTTACCTTAAGAACATCATCTCAGTTTATGGTAGCTTTATATAATACAGCTTAAAAAGAAAATAAAACTGATGCAAAGTGAAGCTATCGGGGAGGATCCAGAGCAGGACTGGGTGTGTCCCCTGCCTCTCATCCACCTTAAAAACCGTCACAGCACAGTGTTCAACCAAACCCGGAGACAACAGACTTCAGTCTTTCATATGCTATGATATGCAAGACAGCTTCAATTTCTTTTTCTAGATGGATACATCTGGAGACATGATTCTATGAAAAAAATGATTTGGGGTTCATAAACTGATGAACAAATGTACAAGGTTTTAACAAATTTGGGAAAAATTGCGAATACCCCATAGGAAAATGACAGATTCCATAAATTAGCCGTTTAAACAACAGCAAATCCAAATGACCTACAGATATCATCACATTTTCAAATAGGAAAGGCTATAGTAATGTAATGATAAAATACACTCGCTGGGGTGGAAACAAAATAACTGTATTGCTCCTGAAGAAGGAGAGAAAGGTCCTTCCCATCTTACCAGTGTCTGTGGAATGCGTGGGAAGTCTGC